AGATGTTTGTAGGCTAAACTGCTGTTCGGATCTCAATTAAATTTGGCACAAATGTAGAAGTCTGGAGGAACACATACTTACTTTTGTTCTTTAATTCCACGAGGACGGTCATGGGCGAAAGCTAGTTTATAATTTAAAGACCTAAAGATTTATTTATAATGTTACAATTTTTTTTTAACACAAATGTCTAAAATAATCTAAGTAGGAAGTAAGATTATATTGACTAACAAAAGTAAATAAAAATCGAAAAAAAAGACAAACAAGAATGCATCCCCAAGTATTGGTACCAGGAGCACATAACTTACTGGGTGCGTAGAGTCGTCTCGCTGCGGGCTGCGGCGCGGGGTCGCCCGCCGTCTGCGTGATCAACGAGCGCCGGCAGATGGGGCAGGTGGCGTGCAACTGCAGCCACGGCCGGATGCACGTCGAGTGGTACATGTGCTGGCACTCCAGCCGCGACACAGACTCGCCTGCGAATTCACCACAATGTTACAGTAGTCAGCTAAATATGTTGACAAACCCCCAGAATTTTGTGTATCCAGTTTCCGTGCATCATGAATACATATTATTGAAGAATATGTATGTGTATACGGTTTTTAAAATTTAGACTATACTATATAAAATATGGTCCGGTTCAGTCAAACGGTTAAAAATGGCATAGCTCTCGAAATATACTAGGAGTACATCATCATCTCCCTCCTTATTCTACTCCAGTAGCGTCGACGCAACAGGTTTTTGACTTCCGCATAACTATATCATCCATCATCTGTCACCACTCTTTTCTTGTTTATGTCTCCTTTCGCGAAATCCATCCATCTCTTTCTAGGTCTACTTTTAACCACCACACTTATAACTAACATTCTTTTTACATGCGATTCATACTTCATCATAACATGCCCATACCATGCTAACCCATATACTAGGAGTACATGACATCAAAGTAATGACCTTCTAGGAAGTTCTCCCAGCAGATAGAGCAGGTTGTGTTCTCCGCGGCCTGCTCTGCGGTGATGGTCTCAGTGGGCAGCGCTGCTAGCTGTTCGCCTGGTAGCGGTGGAGGGCCAGAGTTGTCCCATTGACCCAGCATTTGAGTTATTACTGCATCTAAGCCTGCAAAAATTTATTTCTAATTGTTAGATCGTTAATTTTTAAAAATGTTATTCAAATAAAGAAAAAGATATGTAAGAGCACACTTTTATATTTCATGCAGATAAAGCCTCATGGGAAAAACTAGTTCAAAAATAAAACTAAAATGTTTGTTACCTTCTCCACCTAACACATAGTCTCCTGGGGCTCCGACAAAAACTACAGGTGCTCCAGCAGCCGCAACACCAGTCCTAGGTCGACCGTTTTCTAGCAGCATTATTAACTCTTGCACAAAACCTGGCCCTGGTACTGGTGTCCTGGCAGAAAAAAAAATTAAAACTTTTTATCTAAATAAAAAGACTCCAAACCCCTCGTTGGGGATGTATAGTGATCTGGTGATGATGATCTAAATATTAATCATATTGGATGGTTGTTTCAGTACCTGTACTGAGACAAGGAGTGTAAGATCTCCAAATGCCTTGCAACCTGCACAATAATAAATTTTGTCTTAATAACTTGAACCCAAGAATAATTTCATTAGAAATCCGAGCACTAAACAATGTTTTTTTTACTTTAATATTCTATGAGGTCCTGGTAACTTTCATCACATTTCAAAAACCATTAAAAATAAGAATTTGCTGTTTTAAAAAAATAAAGTCTTACCGTAGTCCTGCCGCTGCCATAAATGACGCCATGTCGTTTAAAATCGGTGTTATACGCTGCAAAGAGTTATAATTAGTCATTAAATGTACTTTGCAAAAAGACATTTAACAAATATATAGAATAGGGAACAACATTTTTTTATTGGTAACTTTGTATGTTAACATATCAATATAAAATTTGAAGCAGACATGTTTCTCAGTGTTTGAATTATTTGTTTATTTGCCATTTTGACTATTGGATACTTAGTAGAGATAAGAGTAGAAAATGTATCAAGTGAAGTGTCACTATGCCTACTCTATATGTTTTATTAATTTCTTGACTTTGCAGAACTTAAACATGTTCATCTAATAACAATATTGTAGGGCATAAGCTCTTAGCGCATACTAAAAATCAAACTAACTGGAATATGTATTCAAACATGCAGTATACCCAAATTTATCAATCATTGCTGTAGTTCTGTGATTGGTATAAAGTGCTGCCAAAAATTGCATCTCTGGTTTTTCTCTATTTTAATTACATTTATATCACAGACTCCTTTTGTTGACACATTGTATGCAATAGATAACACTATCTTCTACGACTTTCGAACACAGATAAAAAATAATAAAAACTATATACACAAATGCATGTCATGATGTATTTAACAATTATATAGATATTGGATTGGTAATTATTTTGTACAAATGTAATCAAGTATAATTATTTTATGATTTAAATTTAACAGGAAAATCAATATGGTTTTCTGGAAAATGACAATTGAATTAAGAACATCAGTACAATAAAATTGTTTAAACATAATGTCTACAAGTAATAATAATTGTCAATAGAGATTGTCTAATATCTTAGTGGCTCTGAGTATTAGTATTAGTCTATGTGCAGAACACAATGTTAACTTAAGAGCTCAAAGGGATTGCTCCACACCCATATGACCTTGAGCCACAAGGATATTCTAAGATCTTATATATGTTATTTACCACTAAAAACAATAAAAAGCCATTTTAATGGACAGATATTTCATTCAGTTGTAATGGTAGATGACCATTATTATTCTACATACTTCACATTTCCAACATTGGCCAAACCCTACTAACAGAGTGACAATTACATAGCTAAATAGATTTCAAAACAGATGTATCTCTTTTGTCATTTTGGTTAATTTTAAATGAGGGTAGGATATCAATAACTCTATTTTACTCTATTACATATTAAAATTTTATACTTACTGGTCGACTTTGTTCCGAGCCCACTTCAATATCCTCCATAGCACTCATATCACCAATATTACTTATGTCAGCATCTGTGAAGTCATCACCAGACTGATCTGGTGCCTCTGTACTACCCTCCAATTGCTCCACAAAACCCCCATTACAAAATGGGCAAGAAAAATTCTGGAATACATAGTTATGGTTACATACTTTAACAGCCTTACAAATAAACTAGTTAAACTGAGTACAAGCAATTATTGGTACAAATTTTGCTTATACTCAGTTTATTCCTAAGTTTAACTTTATACCGCGTTTATTAAATGTAGTTGCAAAGCGAGCCGGTCATACGCAATACTTATGGGGCCATTCTGTATTATTTAAGACGTAGTTACAAAGAGTACTGTGAAATAGATAAAACTATATGCATGGTATTATTTGTCGTAAGCCAATAATGTACTCGATCATAACATAAACATCGAAGGGCATTTCCATATCATAATAATCATGCCAACGTAGTGTATTTCGCCAAAACCTGACGTTTTTCATCAGAATTTACACAGATGGCTAATTCGAGTGGATTGTCCTTGAAAGTAGTATTTAGCACATCCTGCCATTTAATAGTGATCAAATCCATCATCGTAACTTGTTTTTGATAATAACAATAAGATATTTATTGATTGTTACCTGTAAAACTTGATTGAATTCAACGTTACATCTGTGGCAGAAGAATCGAGATAAATTTCTTCGCTCAACTTCTGCGTCAGCCATTGTTGAGATTGACGTAATTACAAAATCTAATATTCCACACGATTTAAATGTTCCTAGGAATTGTGCTTTCAAGCAATGAACAGAAATTTATCATTCGCCATTTTTTGAGATATGCACAATCCAGTTCATAGAGTATAAAATCAACTTTTTTTTCTCATGAAAAATATGAATTCATAGATAATACCACAAAACGATCACGATGAGTAGAACAGACTATAAAAAAAGGTATCACATCAGACAATCTGACAGTGAAACAGAAAGTTACTTGTAAAAGTTACCTACCATTTATCCCTAAAATATCCGGAATCCAGATACGTCGATTTGGTGTCCATTTCGGGTATAGTGAGCGTGTATCATACCTAATTGAATTAATTTACTTTTTGTTTGCTGAGTCAGATAACTTGTCGGTGTATAAATGTAAAGAAGTTAGTTATTTTCGAAGGACTTTTGCGTAAAATCATCAGAAAGTAAAGTAGTCTGTAGATTTAATTCAACTCTCAACCCATCCACAAATTATACAGGTTCTGTGACACGATTGATTTGTTGGAAAAAGTCATAGACATTTTTTCTATGTTTTGTGTCAATGTCAAAGTCAAAATGACAGCGTGATGGTTATTGAAAATTGCTTGACTCCAGAATCGATATTTAATAAATCATTCTTTTGTTCATGTTTATTTTTAACTGGTTAAAAAGTCACACAAGGTATATTTTTGTAAACACAGAATGTGTCTGACAATAACAAAGAAATAAACTTCTCTAACCAAGTTATAATGTGCATCTATTAGATAATTATAAAATGGCTGGTTTTGGTGATTATACTGGATATAATCGACCTTTTGGTTTTGATCCGAACAGAGATAGTAACGATTTGTATGATACCCGATATCAACAAATATACGGTTATCATACTCCAATGACTGAGGAGTACCAGGGCCCGCCGCTCGTTATGGATGATGTTCCTGAAGAAGGTTAGTAGCTAGCTACTTTTTCTACTTTTAATTAGTAATAACAATATTCATTAGCATAACACTGTTATGTCCTCATTTGGTGCTTGAGTTACTAAGTTGTCATTTGCTATATGATTGCAATTTAAAAATTACAAATATTCCAGTCTATCTAAATATTTTATAACAATATTATACATAGCCTATGCTATCAAGGTATAAGTTAGTGTTCTAAATGTGAAAGAATAAAATTTGTTCAATAGTGTTTAATTTTTTACGTAATGGAATTTCCTCTTATTGTTAAGTTTGTACACCTGTACTTTACAAGTGTAGATTCACTTAAACATTTATATATATAATGTTTTTCCTTTGTTTCAGAAAATAATACATTTGTAACAACTGCAATAAGTGTAGCAAGTCTCGTTACAGAGAATCTACTAAGTCATCCATTCATTGTGTTGAGACGCCAATGTCAGGTATATTTGTATTTTACTATGGGTAATAGTGGTAATACCACTGATGGGTCTGGACATACATACAATAAAGTAATAAATATTAATCACTAGCTTTCGCTTGTGAATCCTTTCATGTGGAAATAAAATAAAAAAACAAAAGAAAGTAGCCTATGTGTTCTTCCATACAATCCTCTACATCTGTACCAAACATCATTGAGATCCGTTCAGCCATTTAGGCTACAAACTCTAACAAACATCCATCCATCTTAACTTTCGCATTTATAATATTAAGTAAGATGTTTCTATTTTTATTACAAAGAACAATTGAAATAAATACAAATATTTTTCAAAGTCACCCTAATCTAGCGTAGGCTCTGAGCCTCTCAATGGAGACATATAGTGAGCTGCTGGATGATTTAAAGTAAATTTCTTATCGAGTTTTTCTTTATTTATAACTAAGTATGTTCTAATATTCATAAAATGTTTAGGTGAACCGTGGTCTTAAAAGTTACCACATTGTACCATACACACTACTGCCCGTTGTTGTGAAGCTGCACAGGAGACAGGAATTAACAACACTGTGGAAAGGAATCGGATCCACTTGTATTGTTAAAGGTCTCAACTTGGCTGTAGAAGATCTGATATCAAAGGGTACTAATTGGCCTAAGTTAGTATAAAGATATCAAAATTATAAGTAAATGACATTTACAAAATAAAAAATTATGCAGTTTTATTAACAAAGGAAGATAATAACTACCTATTTTACATAGTATGACTTTAGACTGTAGTATTTACTACTCCATTTATGTTACAATCTCTAAAAACTATTTGTTGACAACCTCAGATGTTGAGTCATTACAAATTTCATCCTTAACATGAATAATTTGTAATTACTGTAAAATTAACTTTAAAAAATGTATCTGTTATTAATATTTCAGGGACATCGGAAAATGTCATTCTGTCTTACAATTCCTTCAACATGTAACTTTAAAATGGTAAGATATTTTTACTTTTCCAAAAAATAATAATTTAAGATGTTTTTTTAATGTCCTAATTTTTACAGTGTCAGTCTTGCTATAATCACTCCGTTTTACTCCGCAAGTTTGGTTGAAACAGTTCAAAGTGATATCGCCAGTGATAAGCCTGCATTATTTGATGTGTTCAGAGAAGGATTCCTACGTATTCTAGAATGGGGAACTCCAAGTAAAGGTAGAATGCTACCGATTTGGGCTATAGTACTACCAACTGCTGGGTTAGGAGTATCCAAATATCTAGCACAGTATGTATACTATTTCTAATAGTTGACTAGAATATTGTAAATTATTTAGGTTAATACCATCGAATATGGATCCATAATCTCTTGTACTTCTATTCAAAAATGTGTAATCAAATCCATTGATTTTCTTATGTTAAAAATTCATGCACTACATATATGAAAATATTAATCCAATATTTTTACAGTTTGCTATTGAGGAAAATAACAATCAAAGCCCTTAGATTCCAACAAAGACATCGCCATGAGTTGAGTGATTCATACAATTCCAACTTTCCGAAAAACACCCAGAACCCGCTAATAGAAGATATTAATTTAAAAGCAAATATCTTTTCCTTTGTTACTATGGAAATTATCTTCTATCCAATAGAGACTATTATCCATAGACTACATATACAGGTTTGTACATTCTTTATTTTAAAAACAAATTTACAAAAAAATACATAAAAAGGGGATGATTCAAATAAATTGATCTGAACATATGCAATACTTATGACAACCCAATATTAATTGGGTTTCTTTGTCTATGAAGGGTCTAAGTTTGGTCTGTTTATGCAAATAGTTATATATTATCATTCTATTAGTGTGTTTAAAAAAAACTTTTTTATAATAACATAGGTGACCAGCAATATTTAGTCTGTATAACACAGTCTTTATAACCAATATTGTATTGGTTGTTACAGTTATATAGTTTGTAACTAAATTCCGTTCAATGAAACCACTTACACCCTTTATTAGATCTATTCAGAGATGTTATTGTTGAATGAGTTAAAATACAAGACTATGTTACAATTCCCAGGGTACAAGAACAATCATAGACAACTTAGACACAGGTACCTCGGTGACACCCATTCTAACTGGGTATGAAGGCTTCATGGACTGCTATATTACAACAATATCAAAAGAAGGTGTATCAGGTTTATACAAGGGTTTTGGAGCGTTAGTTTTACAATTAGCTGCACATTTGGCTATTATAAAATTAACCACAATAGTGGTGACTGAAGTATCTAATCTATTGAAACCAGCAAGTACACCAACTAATTCTGATGGTTCAAATGTCTCGCAGCAAAAATACTTATTCAATTAATCAATTGGCTCCATGCCTATGTTTATATTTTTGAATAAGACATAAATGGCCAATATATGTTGCAAGTAAATCAGTTAAAAAAACTATGTTTCATTATACTTGTAGGTGTAAATTGTTGATTCTAGTTGTGAGACCTGGTTATTTTATTTTGTTGTAAATTATTTTGCTAGTTGTAAGCATAACCACAGCTTTTCATGTAAGTTTTAAATTATGTTTGAAATAAAAGGGTTTGTTTAAGTTTTCTTTTTTATTATTTTAAACTAAATTCTACCTATAAAAATAACAAATCCTAATGAGATAGAACAAACCTGCCTTTTAATAATCTACGCATAATAATTCGTCGACCATTAGGTGTGGATATTCTTGTTGTCCAACCGTGCCGACGCACTCTTCTCACTTCGTTCGGCCTCGGGAAATAACAACGAACTTTACTTCTAATAGTCGTTAATAAAAATGAATCTGGCTTTACTAAAGCATTACTTGATGGAACTTGAGACATTGTAGGAAAATTTCGCGCAATACATCTGAAAATTGCAGATGTTATTAAACAAACAAATATTTCTTATGTTAAAATGTTTGACTTACTCGTGACTTACTTTAATGGTTGCAAAATAGCGGTCATTAATCGAGACATGCTTAACACTTGTGTTTCTATTATTTCTTTTGGAATACGATCAGAAAAATTAGGAAGACATGTGTGACTGTCAGAGTCACTGTCATTTATATGTCAATGTCAAATTTTATGTAGGTACATAAAGTAGTTTAATTTTTATTAAAAAATCATTGCATTTGCAATTTCAAATAGATTCAAATATTTTATTCGAATTAAATGAAAAATTTATTATTAAAAACACTGCCAAGAATGTATTACTACATTTTCGATTTCGGAAACTATAAAAATTAAATGATGATTAAGTAGTTTGAACAAAAAATGAATCAATGTGTAATGGAACGTTTTGCCTAGGGATGTGTTGATGGTTTTTGATTTATCGAAACTTTACGACTACTACTTTCCAACACGTTCAAAAAAGAAATATCCAAACATTTATGGCAAAAAAAGAAGACGACCAGTGATTGCTACTTTATCTGATGTGTGTTCATTGAATTTACTATCGACGTACCACTAGAACGCATTCTTGTTCTGGGACTACTTCCATGGAATTTACTACTTAAATGAAAAACACGCACATCACTAGTTTCGTCGACTGTCGATATCTAAATAATATCTGTAGGCACCTATCTATATCTATATGAAGAAGAACTGGATATCTAAATATGGCGGACAAAAATAACAAGGGCGCTAAAAGATTTTTTTCTATATTTGTGACATTTTTGTAAACAGTGTAAGATTAAACTATTTATAAGTGTTATGTTTATGTGTTATTTAGCAAAGATATTGACGTGGAATTATAAGTATTATTAAATAATACTATTGTCAACACAATTGAACAGTGCGTACTTTGCTATATTATAGTTTTTTTTTCTATTTCCTTAAGATAGAAATTTGGTTGAAGACAATGAAAATTGTTATTCCAGGTGCAAAATGTCAACTATTAAAGTATGCTTTGAGATAGGACACACAGCTTCGTTGAAATCCAAGAAGTCTCCAGAAGGATTTACTCATGACTGGGAAGTCTTCGTGCGCGGCACAGAAGGCGCTGATATTAGTCATTTTGTCGAAAAAGTAGTTTTTCATCTCCATGAAACTTTTCCTAAACCTAGAAGAGGTAAATAATCTTGACATACATTCATACTGTTCAAATTGTTAGATCGTAATATTTGTTTACTAAATTATGACTTAAAAAATTGTTTACATTTTCACAACGTGAAATAACGTTTGAATATTGCAATGAAATTTTAGTTACGTAATTTAATGTAATTTGATATTTCACCAATATTTAACCCAATAATTTGTGTTATAATTTTATTTTTCAGTTGTTAAGGAACCTCCATTTTCAATAAGTGAATCTGGTTATGCTGGTTTTATTTTCCCTATTGAAATATATTTGAAAAATAAAGATGAACCCAAGAAGATCACATTTTCATATGATTTTACATTACAACGCACCGGTTCTCTCAAAGATCGGTTTATTTTTCAAAACCCAAATGATGATTTTAAAAAGAAGTTATTAAAAGGTGGAGGTATAGTAACAACAAACAATGCCTTTTACACAAATCCTGATCAGGAAAATCGAAGCAGAGACTCATTTACTGAAGAAAAACAACAGCTTGTAAGTAAACCAAAACTGTCTTCAGAAAATGTTAAAAAGCATAAATCTAAAGAGTACAAAGAAGAAATCCCACATAAAACCAGTAGTTTTGAAACTTTATTTGGTGCTCCTATACAAAAACCACCTAAAGTTTCACCAGATCCTAAAAAAATTGAAAAAACTGCAATTGCAATCAAATCTCAGAAGAAGGAAAAAGATAGGTCCAGCTCTGATAAGAAATCAAAACATGAACACAAAGAACCTAAGCCAGAGAAAGTTAAAATGAAAGAGGATAAGGAGAAAATGAAAGCTGATAAAATAAAACTTCATAAAGACCCAGAAAGATCTAAAGAAAAGCCCAGTAAAAGACCAAATGAAAGACCACCTTCCCCAGACTTAGTTAAGAAACGCTGTGTGAGTCCAGTAAGAAGACCACCAAGTCCATCACAGAGGTCTAATAGTGCATCTAGCATAAAAGAAGAATACAAATCAAAGCATTTATCAGAAAATTATGAATCAAAGAAGCCAAAGAATGACATAGAACCCAGGTCAGTAGAAGTTAAAGTTGAGAAAGAAGGTAAAGAAAAGAAGAAAAAAGAGAAGAAAAGCCACGATCGGGATAAAGAGAGAAAGGAAAAAAAGGAACATAAGAAAGAGAGCCACAAATTAAAAGAATCACCAAAAGAATCACCAAAAGAGTTGCCAAAAGTTAAAGAAGTGGTAAAAGAAAAGGAACAAGCAAGAGAAACTTCACATTCAAGGGAAAAACCACAAAAACCAGAAAAAATCATAAACAAGTTTTCAATAGAAAGACTCAGAAAAACTCCCCCACCAGAAGTTGAGGAACATGTTGAAAATCGTAAATCAAAAGAAAAAGGTGATTCAGAAAGGAAACATAAACACAAGAAGAAGGATAAAAAGAGAGATGAGTCAAAAGAAAAGCACAAAGAATCTAGCAAGGAGAAAAAGAGCAAACATGATAAAGTTGCTAAAGAAATGCCAACTGAGAAACCTGAAATTATTGAACTTAGAGAAACTCCTATTCTCAAAGAACGCTTAATACCAGAACCAGCATCCCCAATATCAATTGATACTGCATCTCAGTGCAGTTCTAAGAGTGGCCTTGTAAAGGCTTCCCATATAAGTGCAGAGGATGTAAATAGTAGTCATTCTGACTCTGAAGTATCCTTAATTGCTGATGATGAAGATGTCAAAATAAAAATTGAAAATCGTTCTCCAGCAGTTAAACATGCACCATCCCCCGAACCTGAACCAGAGCCAGAACCGGAAGCGGAACCCGAGATAGAACCGATAGTTGAAGCTCCACCTGTACAACAAAAGGAAAAATCAAAGAAGCACAAAGATAGATCAAAACGTGAAGAGAAACGTCGGAAACGGAAAGCAGCAGAAGAGGAAGAAATCGAAAGTAGAAAGGTGGCAAAAACAAACGAATTAGGTGTTTCAAATAATGACACTGAACGCGGCGAAAGCAGTGGCTCAGTTTCAGCTGAAACTAAAGTGCAAGACAATGGTGTATCAAGTAGTCTAGGTGAAGATGCGGAGCCAGGAGACCTGTCACCAGACTACATGGTGCAACTCCGTGGTCTGCAGCAAAGAATCATGATGATCAAGAATAATGAAGATTTAGAACGAGTTGTAAACCTTATCGCTGAAACGGGACGATATGAAGTAACAACTCAGACGTTTGATTTTGATTTGTGTATGCTAGACCGATCCACAGTACAGCAACTTATACAGTTAGTAGGATGTTAGGTGATAGATTTATGATTGTTAAAGTTATTGTAAATAAAGCTTTGGTAGATACCACATCGCTGTACAGAGATAGATGAAAATATATTGGCCACAGCAAGATTGCCTAATCAAGTGTGGTGTTGCAAGCAGATTTAAGTTTTATTATAGTTAGAAATAATCTCATATACATTTACTTTTAATAGTAATGTGACATTACTCATCTCTGGAGTTTAAAGTGCAATACTATATGCATAAAGTTATAAGACTGTTGATTGTTAAAAAGTATTGTATATTTTGTACATTTATTGTAATCATTGATTATGATTTAAGTTGAAGAGCTCGAGAGTTTTTAATGAACCTCCTGAGTCATGATGACTGAGAGGCTATGTTTATGTAATATGCTGACGTTGTTGCATTTCGTGTTAACTTAATAATAATTGTCAACACAAATAATAATATTTATTGAATATATTATCATTTCATTTGTTCATTCTAATATATTTTAAGATTGGCTTTTAATTTTGAATGTAATTATTGAATAATTATGTAATAGTTTCTACATCACAATAAAATCGAGTTTTTACAAAGTTACGTGATTAACAATATTATTAATTTTTCATTGTTTTTATACAGTAGTCCCAATCGGCTATGCTTTCTTGCTAGCCTTTGTATATTTATATTTGTTATGTAACTTATTTTAAATTATCTTTATTTTAGGTTTATATCTCAAAAATAAACAGAGTGTAAATTAAATGCCTTTTTCATCGTTTCCACCTTTTTTATCCAGGGTTTAAGAAAATAAATCAAAATTTGGACAGGTCAGATATTTATTATTCAATGTAATACAAAATAATGATGAAGAAATGATTATGAAAAAAAAAATATGGATAAAAATGAAAATGCGATTATGAACCCTTTAACAAAGTAGATGATGAATGAAATAAAATTCCCAAAAATACATTGAAAATAGATACCAATGTATAAACGGCGGATTGATATCGAAAATATAAAGACATTAAAGCGACCCTCAAAATATATTCCATCTAGAAAGCGAATGTTCATGTCTTAGTCGTTACGAACAATGCAATCGCGTGTTATAAACGTTGTCAATCGTTACCAGATGGTATTACTTCAGAGGTATGTCACCTTCCTCTATCCAACTCATTGCAATCGAGACCGGAGATTGAATGCAAATCGTTCATCTTTTCTTGCCACTCTTATGTACAGTTTGCCGCCATTTTGTGTAAAAGTCACCAATGTACTCCACGGAAATGCCAGCAGACTGCGCAGCGCCTGTCATACTGAACTCTTTAAATTGTTCATCATTAGATCCTGGCTCATCACCAACTAGCAGTATTAGTAGTGAAGATGTTTTCGAGTTGACCGAATTATCAGGATCTCCGGTCCCACCAATTTGACTTTGCTTCTCTTCCTCTATAAAATGGTTGCAGTATTCCAATATCTGGATGAAGTTGTGCACATGTGGTGGTAATTTACGTGGGTACTTCAATAGAGGCAGCGGTTTTAACTGTCCAGGCCGCTGTGTTTTAAGGAAACGCGATCCACTCTTCAGTTGTATTTCTAGCCAACGTATTGCATCTCTTGCAGAACTACGTTCCCGTTTCAATTCGTCCAATTCTTGTAAAACTGTAACCAAGTTTTTTTTCGTCATGAAACTAATTAAATAAAAGAATGCATTATTAAAAAAGTACAGACTAGAGAAGTAATGTAACAGTCTCTACTATTACAATGTGGAAAGAATTTAATAAAATAAAATACTTAAAAATATGTCCACCTGAGAGAAGTTAAGATGGATTGCTAATTTTTTAGATTTCTGAACAGGATACGGTTTTGAGTTTTTTTTTATCTTAAATGCTAAAGAAATTTTGTTTTATGACTTACCAACTGTGGGTACCAGAAATATGAAATTCCTTGTTCTCAATAATTGCTTCACCCTCTTTAAATGTTTGTACAATGAAGCCGTGTCTAATGCAAGTAGAGACGGCGCGGGTGTAGTTCCTGTGCGCTCCAGCTCTTTTACTTGAGAAACCAGCCAAAGACGACCAAGACGGCGAAGGAGACCTCCTTCTCGCGATTCTAACTGAAATAAAAAAGTACAATAAATTATATTAAATGTATTTTTTTTAAACTGTTTTTAGTGTTTACAATAAAAAATACAAGGCTGGTTAAAAAGAATACATGTTTTGAAAGTGATATTTCTTCAGCAAGATAGATCTAGTCTATAAAAATGAAACTTACAGGTTTTTTGGAATTGTGCCATTCTCTGGTTTTTTTATGGTTAACCTTGGTGGTGATTTTCGGTGGTAAATTCTTTTTATAATAGAATATTTTCATTGATCTGTTGAATCTTATTCTGGGTACAATCTTGGCAATCTGATATCCAAAGTCGATGAAATTTAGCATTCTAATAACATTCTCTTCATAAACTGTTGGTTTGTATTTAGTTAATAACTGCCATTCTGCTGCGTCTTTATCGAATTTGCAAATATTTGTGCCACGCAAATTAATATCTTCAGGCAACGGAATTGTCTTATATTCAAGTTTTAATTTTTTAACAAGAATTTTAGCATAATTTAAAATATTACAATCCTCCTTTGGAAAGTTATTGTGGTTTTTGTAATGAAAATAGTGTAGAAATATATTCAATAAGTCCACAACACATTGAAATAATGATTCACCACTTTCACCACAAGAAAGTATGAGGTCTTTTTCTAAAAGTACCCAATCTAGTAACAATTTTATACTTGACAAGAAATTATCACCCATCAGAAAGTTTTGTATTCCTTCAATATCTAATTTAGTGTCAACATTAGGGACACTTTTTCTATTACTGTCTTCTGATTTTATTATTGGATCCTTTACAATTTCTTTAACATCTCTGTGCTCATCACCATTGCCATTCATTGGAACATCTTCACTATCTGTTTCTTCATAGATTGATCCTTCACTTTTCGAGTTATCTTCTGACTCATATGTGGAATCCGATATCTCATCCTCTGATTCTGATTTATCTGTATCTACTTCACTACTTTCAGTATCTGCATCTGTAATATCAGAACTCCCAGAAGACAGTATACGTCGACGTCGCCGTCGTTTGCTTAAAGTCTTCTTTTTAGCATCTCCATTTAATTGTTTAGGTTCTTCTGCATCCGATTTGTCTTTAACGTCTACTTCACTCCTAACATTGTTATCTTTCCCATTCAACATTACATTTTCTTCTGGTCTTGTTACTTCTTCAGTTACATTTTTATCACCTTCTTTAAGTTCCTGTAGTTGAACTCTAGGTATGTATTGATATGCTGGACTTTTTAGGCCCAGAGACTCCAAATGCTTGTGTAATTTTTGTAACAGTTGAGCCAAAAAGGCTAAAGTAAACGCTTTAGAAGCAAATGCCTTAGGCTCGTCTATCTCAACCAGTTTTGCATTCGTAAAGAGACATATTTCCACAATGTTGTGTATCATACTAGAATTTAAATAGGATGGATTGATTTGTTCTTCCTCAAAAGCCTGCACATGTTCAGTATAATTTTTATTTATATCTGGTAAAGGGTTACCACTAAAATCCATTCCAATTTTGAGCTTTTGCGCTATATTACTGCACAATTTGGGGACATTGGTATCATCTTTGCCAAGAAACCATATTTCAGTGAGTGATAGGAACTCAGCAATTGTATTTTGTATATGTTCAGTTTGTGTACTAGTCTCTGAATCATTGATAGTTTCTAGAAATTGATTGTTCTTTTCAAATATTTTCACTAAATTTCCAATAGCTCCTTCAAAGGGTGACACAGAGCTCAAACAGTGAATATAATGTGAGACTGAATCCAAATTATAATTTTTGTCGAGAAATAAATTGCCCAACTGGTTGTATGGCATGCCTGATGACAAATCTACTTGACTGGCTTGCAAGTAGTAACGAGCTGCTATTGATGGATCAAATGCATTGGACATTTCAGCTTGGTAACGGCATAGATCACCTAGATAAATTAAACAGGAAAAAAGTGATGATTTAGCAAATTGGAGCTCATGTTCATAACTTTCTTTTTTATCTTCATTATCTTCATCAACATGTAGAGGGGTATAGTCCAACTCTTTAATCCTCACTTTCATTTCACACTCGATTCTTGTTATGATGTGATGAAAATGTCCGATACCACTCATTATATGAGTACATAAATATCCATCAAATTCATTATTAGATTCCCTAAACTTTTTTGCAGCACACACAGTCTCATAGTAAACTTTTCGCCAAAGCAGTTCAAGTGATTTCTTTCCATAGTTTATAGGATCGCAAAAAAATAGTTTTTCGCAATTCTCACGTAATTTCTGTCTCTGTACTTCGATATTTGTTGCAAACAAATCCGATAGACTTGTACATTGAGCTGTTGCTTCGCCAATGCGTCTCGACACATCACTCACATACCTGCAAAATGTAACATTAAACACGTTTTTATTCAAAGTGTTTTTGAGCATGTATTTATAATAATTACGATATTGTAGATTTTCATCAATAAAATGTAAAAAAAGGGAAAAGCACACAAATGCGAAATAGAACTAGTCCAGTCGTGGCGCAAAAAGGGATTCTACTTACCGATAAACTTTCCTAGCTCGTTCATCACGTTCGGCTATCTTAGCCTCCAGCTGTTCATTACAACTGTTCTTCATTTTCAAGTCATTTTACCTTTTAAAAATCATCAGGATGTTGATTTAAAAAACACTTTTAGACAAGTAAAAATGTCAATAATATGCAATAAATTACTCATTTCAGTTTCACTATTAATATCATTTACTCTTTGTCATTTATAATTTTTCCAAAACCAATTTGACATTTAGGGTTACCAGCAAGGTAATATGTCAACATTAAAGGATAATTCTTTCCTTTTGAAAACGAAAATGAAAATGCAAATTGCACAGGAAGTACTTGTACCGTACCATGTAACTAGGAAATGTCCCAGACTTCGTTTGTCAGTTAGAAGACTCTATAGTTAAAGAATCTTTGTACCTAACTTTTAGCAATGCACTCTCTTAAGTCAGGGAAGGAATAGTCTTAACATGACAGAAATTGTCTTACTTAGCCTTAGCGCTCATCTACAGAACAATAGAAACCTTAATGATTGTTATTTACAAGCAACGCAGAGTACAAACTATGTGGTATGCCCCGTGGTTTGAACTGTGCGTTTTAAAATTAACAGACAATTAGTTCTCGATACATTACTAAATACATGCAATAATTTCCTTATTACATAAGTAAATATGTAGTTAATGTCACGAAGGCCATACTTCCAGTTGTACAATACAAGTTACAATTAAGGGCTCGGTCTCGGTTACTGCAATTTGAAATAGATAACAAAACAGCAAATTTTTTTCAATTAGTATAAAACATTTTTTTTTTTAACTACAATACTAAAAATAGGCGTCGCCTCGAGAATTAGGGAATTTTTTGAATTAACAAATGGTAACATATTCTGATTGCAACAGACACAAGACGATTCACATTTTCAAATGGACTGCATTGATTCAGAATCAGAATTTCGTTAGAGAATCGTCTTAGAATGATTGAGAGAAGAAAAGGTGGCTAACTTTACGGAGGTATTCGATTCGTTACATTATTTTACCGTTATTTTTTATGTATAAGGACTGATATCGTGGCATCTTTTTGACATTGACAGGATGGCACCTAGTCTTGGGTAGTACACGTACGTTGTACTAAAAAGTTATGTTACTCGGCACTGTACTAAAAGTAACGTTACCGAACGGCTTCTGTTAATCGGACATTTAGTACTTTTAGAACACTACACGATATCGGTGTTCGCCTTTTTGTCAGAATAAAGCATCCTATAAAATATAAATAAAGCCTTTTTGTCAGAAGATAAGGGTAGGCAACGCATCTGCGATCGCGGATGTCTATGGGCAGCGGTCACTTCACCACTTTGTCGGATTCAGGTGGCCGCTTGCTCGTTTGCCACCTTATGTTATAAAAAAAAAATCCACCTTCGATAATGAGAATCAAAAGTGGATAAAATTATTCATAACTAAATTTATTTTCGCTAATAACATATGTTTGACCCTGCTTAAAATTTGATGTGAAGTAATATATAACCCTTCTATTCATGTTTTCACAAATCTGAAGTACTAAAGGTACTAAAATTGTGTACTAGTACGTTTTCCCAATTGTACTAGTACGGTGCGCACTTGCAGATGTCCGATTAAGCCCAAGACTAATGGCGCCTCTAAGCATTTAGGGTTACCAACAAGGTAATGTTTCCTCATGTAAGGAAAATCCTTCCGTTTAGAAAACGAAAACGCAATTTGCAAAGGAAGTACTTGTACCTTACAATGTAACTAATAAATCAGTGCTTATTTAGAGAATATTAGAAATCTTAATGATTGATGTTTACAATCAACGCACAGTTCAAACTACGCCCACACACACAGTACGCCCCGTGGTTTGAATGAAATGATGCGATATAAAATCATCAGACAACTAGTTTCTTGTTATATTCCTTAGTACACACAGTAATTTCCTTATTACGTTAGTAAAACAGTATAGAAAAAACCAAAATCCTTGTTTATTTTATGTCATGAAGGAAATACTTCCAGTTACACAAAACATAGTACAACTAAGGGTTCGGTCACTGCAATTTAAAATGAATAAATAATAAATCAACTATCTGAAAAATATTTATAACAAGCTGTCATTATTACCCTTATATTAAATGTCATTTGTTTATTTCATAATATTGTCGGCAAAAGAAACTTGTATATCCATGTTGAATGTTATTTACTCTTTGATGTGTGTTTTTGATTCTTGGTTATGGTTTGTTTGTCGATTTTCTGGAATGACATTACAGATTTGCTTGATATTTCATTTGTATTGATCGATACAAAAATATTGTTTTACCTAAATCATTTCAATACATACTACATATAAAACTGCTATCTGATCTCACATTTGGTGGTTTCAAAATTGTTTTGTATCCCAAAATTTAGCTTTGTTATTGATTTTAAATACAAAATTCAATAATGGATTCAATGGAGAATCAATCGTGTGTATTTTTGGGTGTAAAAGTAAAACCCGGGCCAATTGAACGCTACAAGCTTGATAATTTTACACTCGAAAACAAAATTATAAACTTAAAAGCGGAGGCGGAGAAAAGAGTGAAAGAACCGTCTTCTTCCTTAGGTTTGTAGTTCATTGTTATTGTGGAAAATGAAAACCCATAAAAATATAAAAATTGCCTAGTATCGCTTAGTAATTTTAGTCAGTGTGAATTATGACAGCTTGGCAATTACACAATGTAATAAATCTTCAAATTAAAGTACTTCATTGTTATGTTTTTGTACTTTGCTTAGATTTAGATAAAAATTAATGTGCAGTACAGACATTGCCTTAGTATAGTTCAACAGTAGTGCTCAACATTTGGACTGGTATTCAACTGGCATGCAATATCAGTCCAATGACTGGCATAGCATTCTACATTTTTAGATAGTCCAACTATTTCACCTGATTGATATACCAATCAGTTTAATTATCTTTATAGAAGCTATATATCATGGCAAAATTCTCCGAGATGAGTCTACACTCCAAGATTGTGGAATTAAATATGGTGAAATGGTACATATAGTAAAGAAAAAGATCACAGTTAAGTCAACTCCTGCGTATACATTTTCTGATGTGGAAATACAACAGTTGAACACATCATTGAGAACTTTAGGCTGTACACCAAACGCACCAGGCTGGACACGAGCAATGCAGGTAAAAAAAACATTATATTACAGATTGGCATTTGAAATTAGAACAAACTTAATATGTCTAAATGAATGGAAAAATTCTATTTGCTTATTTATAATATTGTCTAGAATTAACCTAGGTCGAACCAGAAAGGTATTACAAATGAAATGACAGTGTCCTCATCAAAATTGACAGGGCAGGTTTTATCATTAATGGCTTACTGGATGAGATTTTCTATCCCCTTAACTGCAATACAAAACCACATGAAAAAAAGGTGTGAAGTGGTCATACCCACTACTACTTCTACTAAAAATCAGTTCAGCCTGTCTTGTATTTCTTGTGACAAATTTAAACCTCATATAGTTTTATGCCTGCGAAAAAAAATCCTTAATTATGTATAAAGGCATTAATTTTCAGTAACATAAAACCATAATTAAATAAAGAGAATTTATTTTCAGCTACTCAATGATGATGCTACACTAGCAGAAGTTGTTGATCAATTGCCTTCACTAAGTGAGGATTGTGTGGGATTATCAATATTGCATGAAGTGGAGCTTCTTGCTGCATTGGGTGCTAATGTGGAGACAATGAGGCGCGGAGCTGAAGCCCATCCTGAATTACCTGCGGCTTTGCGACATTTAACAAGACTGGTGCGTTCCCGTAATACTGCTTCTGATGAAGATGGTGAGCATCGTGTGAATTATATTGTGGACTAGATGATCTAGAACTGCTTTTTCTACATAAATTTGTATAAAATCAAATGATAATATGACAATATCTCTTCTTTTCTGCTATAGGTTTATAGTTTTGTTCCTTTAGTGCATGTCAGCCTATAGGCTATCACAAGTGTAGTGCTTTCTATTAAAAAAAACTATTATTCATAAATATGCAGTCATTGCTGACATCCTACATTACAAAAGTATAGTTTATGTGAAAAATTTGACTTCAAAGAGTCATAATGGAAATGTTGATGAGAATTCCGACAGAGTAATTTTCAAAAAGATGTTATACATGGAGGTCACCAGGAGGATATAGGAGTGGATAGTTCTTTGACCTCCCTAGATCATCTGCAAGGAACACAAAAATTTTTTAATATTACTGGTACACTACCAAAAAAATAATCAATTTTTAATCATGTCACACAAAGCTAACTTGACAAGTATATCAAATGTTTTGCTGATAAATGTTTGTTATTTTTTAGTACCAACATCTGGTTTTGCATATTCACTTGAGGCTCTCTCAGAGGATGAGGATGTGGATGAAGAGGATGCTGATGAACCCCGAATGGAGAGGAGCACCTCCATAACACGGGAACAATTAACTGCTGCTTTGCAGGTACTGTTCCAATTATATTTTAAGCTTAATCTGTTCTCAAAGGTATATATTACAATTAGCAAATATTATAATAATTTATTAAAAAAGCATAATTATTAAAAGTACCAATCTTGTGGTCATAGGTTCTCTTTATATGATACCAAAATTGAGTAGCCTATGTATACTAGACTATGCTACTATACTACTCTATGTACCATATATCATAGAAATCCATTCAGCTGTTTAGGCTACAAACTATAACAAACATCCATCCATCCATCGAAACTGTCGCATTTTATTATTAGTATGAGTAGTATGAAGTATTCTATCCTAATAGAAGCTTTATTGCTATAAGAAACAATTTTCTTTTATAAAAATGGTGTTTGTTAGCAGTAACTATATAGTTAACTTTACCTATACTTAACACTGTTCAATTTGAATGTATAATATTTACATTTTGTGTATAAAATTTTTAATTCGTTTCAGGCTGCAACAGATTCTGCGTTACCTAACAATTCAATACATGTCCGTCAGAACCGAGAGAATTTATTGAGGCTATTGGAAGCTACGCCTGATCGTAGGAACACAGCTAGGAGTTCTGCCACTGCAGAACCCAGTGCACCCAGCAGCAGTACAGGTATATTAGCTATATAAAACTAAGTGCCTATATGTTCCAGACTATCCTCCACATCTATGCAAAATTTCATAGAAATCCGTTCACCAGTATAGGCTACAAACTCTAACAAACATCCATGTAAACTTATAATATTAGTAAAATTTGAATTGAAGAAAAAATTACAAATAACTATTAGATAAATTACTGTAACACTCAGTGCAGCCGGTTTATTTTTAAATGATTAATAAAATAAATGAAAACCCTAGTAGTATGGAAAGGGATAAACTCATAATTACATGCTCTATTTTAAATGTTTATTCTAAGGGTTCTAATAAGATTGTACAATCAACCATTTACACCACTTTTGTAGACACTGCTATTCACCAAAATTACCATGTACCTTATAATAAAATAAATGGATACTATTATTATATTAAGAAAAAAATTCACTACCATAACTTGTAGAAAAAAAACTACATATTAAAGTGTGAAATGTAATAAACCAGTTTCCTGACTTTATTAAAAACTTTTTAAAATCAATCAATATGTTTATAATACTGCCTGCCTACAAGACTGTGATTTAAAAAAAAAAACAAAAACCATGGAATTCCTTCAAAATACAAAAGCCCTGGTAATTTAAATTGAGAATAATGTTATGTTTATCTTTTTTAAAACTTTAATATGTGTTAAATGTTTGTTTCAGCTGCGCCTCCTATAATAACTACGGAAATGTTCAATGAAGCAATGACAGAGGCTATGTCAAGAGCCGGTGAACAAAGCTCATCTACTCCGGAGACAACTTTTGCTAGTAAGTGTAGTATTATTAACCGATTTTAATAACCTAACACTCATTTTTACAAACAACCATCCCCCATCATACAGATAAAAGAAGGTTCACAAATCGACTTTTTTATGTACATCTTATAAACATGTAAGGGCCTGTGCCATCAAATTGTAAAATGTCTGATAACAATCCAACATATAAAATATGTGAAGGTAATATTAGATTTTGTTGACAGTGATGTCATATTTAAGTTATCTGAGCCTCTATCAGCTAGTGGTTGAACAGGCCCTTAAAGCCGGATTTTTGTTTAAAAAATGTTTTGTATGTTAGCTATAGTAAACTTGTTCTTTAATAGGAGAACAGTAAAGGTTGTAAGTAGAGTAGATTGGCTTTAATACTGACTGGTTATTTTTACTTTTGTGAGAGACCAGCTTTGGCCCGCGACTTCGTCCGCGTGGAAGAAAATAAAACGAAAGTGAGTAGCCTATGTGTTCTTCCAGACTATCCTCTACATCTATACCAAATTTCATCGAAATCTGTTCAGCGGTTTAGGCTACAAACTCTAACAAACATCCATCTATCTAAACTTTCACATTTTTAATATTAGTGCGACTAATAACAAGGGCTTGTATTAATACACCTATAAGATAAAATGCTTTTTTCTGTTTGATTATTTTAAAAAACAGTGATATGTATTTGCATGTTAAGGTAGTGACAAAACTTTAACTGAAAAATGTTCACTAAGTATATGACTATAGTTTTAATGTTTCGAATATTTACACTATAAACTTTTTTTCAGCTTCATCCCAAAATCAAGAGGAATATGCGACACAAATAAGTCACATGCATGAAATGGGACTCACAGATGATGCTTTGAACATGCGAGCTCTGGTCATATGCTCAGGTATTATTATACCATTATTAATATTACATTTTTTACTAAACTGTTTCTAAAAACAAAGCATGTGGTTGGGGAAAACGGATGCCTCTGACTAAGTTTCGATTTTATATTTGTACCTGGTCTTTGTTTTCTTTTAATTAACTCGAAGTATACACAACACCACGCTAGCCCGTATTTTGTGTATAAATCGACTTTTGTATTTATTTTTGTTATAACGTCAAGATAAAAGTTAATAATATGAAATAATTGTTTTCAGGTGATGTAAATGCTGCTATCAACTTGGTGTTCAGTGGCGCTATCGGTGATGATTAAGATTATTTAGATGTTTCAATTATGTAGTTCTCATTCATATAATATAACCAATACTCAACATGTTAAATATGTTTAAATAAAAGATATTTGTCTTCACAAGTTGTTTTATTGCTTAATAATTTTGAAAGAAATAAACCTTATTTATAATATCACTGGATGTATCCATAAGGGACATATGTACTTAAAATACTATATGATAAAAATATGTGCGAAATAGACTAAAGTATTGCTAAAAGAATAATGTAACAAAGTTAATAAACTCTAATATTATAACATGAAGCAAGCTGTCAGCCAGTTTATAAAAAATATACTCTTTCTAATTTATAAATGTTAAAACAGAAGAAGATTTTCAATGTTGTTTAAATGTTTTAAAACATTAAATGTAAATTAATTCAGTAATGCTATACAACACCTATTTTTGTAGCTACAGTGAATATAAACTTTGCTGTTAGATGTGTTGAAATAGATGTGAAACTTTAATATTTTATTTTAAAATTCATGTTAAGTTTAGAAGTTTTCTTGTGTGTGTCATTGCCTGTTTTAGCTCTACATTGTTCCCGCTTTTTCATCCGACGAAAGTACCATGCGGAATTATTAAGACTTTTATCACCAAATAATTCTTGCTGGAGTCTATTTCTGTATTCTTTTCTCAGCGAAGCTCTTTTTTCATACCAATTCACTTTATCTTTTTCTGAATTTTTATTTGGCTTCTCTTTCAATTTTCCATTGCTTTCTTTTATGTTATCTGGACTTTCTAATTTAGTTTTTTCTGTAGCATCAGTAGTTGGTTGAATTTTATCTAAAATGTTTCGGTTTTCAGGTAATGCTTGAGAATCATCATAATCTTTCAGTAGACCTTTTATATCAAATTGTTCTTGTTTACTGCGACCCTTTTGCTTTCTACGCCATTTTTCAGTCTTCCTCTTATTATACTTGCATTTATGACAGTTATATCTGTCATCTTTTTTAATTTCTTCTTCACTTGTAACATCTTGTAGATTGGGTTCATAGATTTTCTTAACCTTTTTTTTATTAAGATGTTCATATTCCCATTTTTTATCAACTTCCCGCTTTTGGATGTTGTTATTTTTCTTCTCAGATTTTAAGGAATCTGCATATGAAATCTTCTTATTATCAATTAATTCCTTTTGGTCATCTAAGGAATCTGTTGAGAATGCTTCTGTGACTAACATGGAATTTTCTTTTTCATTGTTTTGAAACATTTTTGTCTCTTCAGCCATTGCTTTATTAATTTCTTCTATTATTTCCATATTCACAGGTTTTTCCTGAATTTTAATGTTCTTCAATTGCTGTCGCTCATGTTTAATTCTTTTCGCAATTTCATCATCTAACCAACTTTTATTTTGTTTGTATATATTTTTAAGTTTGTTCAAATCCCCCAGAAATTCCTTTTCAAATGATGGTTCTATCAAATGACTATCCAAAACTTTTTCCTGTTCAATAGTTTGATCATCAATACATTTAGTCAGTTTATTAGGATTGTTCATATTTAAAGGTTCTTCAAAGACTTTCTTGCAGCGTTTGTTTGGCATCTTCTGATGTTGCATCTGTATATTACTAACTAATGTTAGCTCTTTCAATTTGCTTCTTAAATAAGCATTTTCTTCTTGCAGCTTGTACAAATTGGATAAAATCTTATTAACAGAAGGTGTATGGTGCATGGTACAATCATTTTTGGCACCCCACATGTGTCCGATTGCTACACCTGCAGCGGTAATAACACTTCCTAGCATGATAACATTGAGAACAGTACTTAATCTCTTATTCCTTCTGTGTACGTATGTTTTGAGTTTTCCGTTACTCTCCATCAGATAATCTGTATCATCTCTTGGTAGTTTATCAATGTTTTCAAAGTGTGTAATGTGAGGGCTATCTGTGATATGTATGGGACCATGTTTGTCAGGTAACATTTCATCTTCTGTGGTATAATTATCATCAATGTGCTTGTGTTGCATAGGACTCTCATGATCACTGTCACTGATGACAGATATGCCATCAGTATCTTCATCTTTTTCTTTGAATGAGGTTGGAAATCTGCAAAGAATGAAGTAATTTGTACATGGTAATATTTTTTCTTAACCAAGAAGTACCATGTGGAATCAAAAATTGATCTGTTTAATATAAATGATGTGCTATAATGCATCTCATCACTCAGGCATTTTTAAATGACAACAAAGGGAAAGGTATTGACCAAAATTGTTTATGGATACTGAATACTTGATATGTTTTTATAAGGTCAAGTAATTAAGTAGAAACATGCTGCAATACAGTCTTAGTAAGAATAGGTCAAGGTAAACAGTGCCACCTAGAAGTGAATTGTTGAACAAGTTATTAAGTTGATTCAAATTATTATAAAAAAGGATCTAAATATGCTTAAATCTATTTTTACGGTACGTTGCGTTATACAGTATTATTACATTAGTAATTAAAATTTTTAGAAGCGCTTTTTAAACAACCTTGATTATGAAAAGATAATATGCGCAAAAAGCACAAAAGTTTCGTTTGATAATTTCTTAACTAGAATGATCAATAGACTTTAGAAATATATTATTTTGTGGCAAAAATTTAACATTTTTTTGTTTTCGCGTTAATATTAAAAAAATAATAACACTTAGGTATATACTATTTACCTTTCGTTCGTATCTTGTGGAAGTTGCAATGTTCCTTCAGTATATTCAGGCGTGGGTTCCAGAATAGTCCAACTTTCTCCCGAATCAGAATCACTGTGATCAATAATGTTCATCTCCATATTGCTTTAATTAAATAATTGTAAAATCAAACGAAAGTAAAATGTCACGCAATTATTGTATATGCGAAATAACACACTAAAATGATTTACACTTCTAAACAAAACATTAAATTACACTAGAATTTAGCTCAAAAGGAATCCCAAAATGTTCTTGTATTTATTTTTGTGGTTTTTTCATACAACGACATATTATGTCATGTTTCAACATACGCGATTATTTTATTTTTCTTTTGCGTTGTGCGAAATATCAACCAATAACAAACGTCACAGATAAAATATTGGAAGTAGCGAATAACACCATGTTAAATGTTGGTAGGACTTGGTACAATTAAAAAAAAATATTTAATACAACGTTAAGAGCGTATATTTTGCCAATATTACAATCACAATCACCTCCCTCAACTCCTTAATGCCCTAATCTAATACGTAGTTTCAAATATTGTGTATATTCTTTACGTTTTTAATTTCTGCAAAAATTAAGCAATGTAAAAGGCGCCAATTTTAAAAAAATAAATAGAAAACTACATCTTTAATATTTGGGAGGTTTAACTATTTACGATTATAAACTTATAAAATAACATTATATTGAAATTAAAATAACATTTAGGGGTATTAATTAATATATTTATTTGTACTTGGATCTTCTATGGCATAGTTCTTATCACATGTGAATGATATTGTCATTGCATATCTGGTACCCGATGTAACTTTTTCTACATAATGAAGATTTTCAGCACCACTTGTGAAAATGCTTAGCCGTGCCAATCTTGGTTCTACTGTTTTATTATGTTTCTCATCAACAAACACAAACCTCCCACCTTCAAAGTCTTTGCTATAATCACTTAAATAAAGTAAAGTTGTATAATGGAATGATTTATAAGTTTCCTGAAAAATTTAAATCTTTAAATTTATCATGTCTAATATTAAATAAATTATTATAAGGAATAATAAGATCTTATTACTACAAAACAATTGAAAGGAAAAATTAGTCAATTCATAGTAGATTTGTATTTACAGTTTTTTTTTATTTATCAATGAATAATCACCATCTAGGACCCCTTACTGCCAATATGAAAACAATAATCATGTAACCAACAAAAAAAAATTATTCATTGAAGTCTACATGTGAGTAATATGTAAAAAAACTTACTTTGTCAACATGTGGATGCCAATATTCATCATGTACGGTTACTGCATTTTTAGGATTAATTTCAGAGAAAAATGTTGGATGTGTTAAATAAATTTTACTAGGTAATACTCCAAAGTAATGAGATATGGCATGTTTTATTTTTTCTTTTACCACCTAAAAAAACACAAATTGTATATATTATAATGGCAGTTAAAGTGAACTTTCCAGCCAGCCAGTAATATTGAATGAGTTAGGCCTTATACACTTACCTTGAACACATTAAAGTCTGCTTCAGTGAATAAATTTTTCATATCATCTCTTTTGTAAATATTAACAAAGTGTTGTCCTTTAGACAAAGCTCCACTATGGAGATCTAATATGGAGGCACCACCTGAAGATCGTCCATACTTAAGACCTTTCTTAGCTATTTTCAACAATTCTAAAGATTCTCTTTCTGAAATTACTTTATCGGTCACAAATCTCTTACACTCCTTGGGAAAACAGCCTTCATATTTATCTATTTCTTTAATATATTTTTCTGAGCAATCTATTATTTGACCCTTTCCAGCCAAAACATCTGATTGTCTGGCGAATGTAATTGTTTTATCATTTTTAGAAGTAAAATAAACTATAGTAAGCAATGAAAATATGACTACTACTCTTGAAAGAACTCTTAGAGGTAAGTTGCTTAATTTTCTGAAAAATAACAATTCAAATCAACCGATTATATCAACATTTACATAATACAACAGTTTACTTTATTACTTACGATTTCTCTTTGGTATTGACCAACTCGTTATCTTCTTTTTCATTAGATATCGGCTTTTTATTTCGTCTTTTCAGTTCAGTCATTTTTAAATAACTTTCTATGTTTCAACAAATTTTACAGCTTTAAAATGTAGTAAAATACTGCCCTCAACGTTTCTTATATTTATCAATCAGTTTTATGTTGCTTTATTATTTTTAATTTCTTATTTGATAATAAATATTTTATCACAGCAGTTTAAGCGACAAATGACAATGTCATTATTTCAGAAGATGTAATTGTCAGGCAAGTTTCAGAAGGTAAGCCTAGTTACAGATTATCGAAAGAATCGAGAACTAACTAAGAAAAACAATGTTGCGAAGTTTTTCTCCCTTGAAAATTTTCTTAAGGTGATTATAGTAATTTTCGTTTTTTGAACACATGTATTAAACAAAACTGATTCTATCGATTTACATTCGCACTTAATTTAACATTTAACAAACAATATAGATTAAAAAAAATAATTTTGACTGATTGCTTGATGTTTGAACTGACTGAAACATAATGGTAACATTGAAAAAGTACGACCGTTGTATGTTGATTGCATTTGCTAAATATCAATTTTATGTTAAGAATTTGCTTAAAATTTTCCGTGTTTCATTTTGTCGACTGTAATACTGTCATGTACTGCCATTAGAAATAATTAACATTTGGTGTATCAATTGCTGCTTATTTTTTTGTCGCAATGTACTTCGACGTTGAAGATGATGGGGTCGACCATGAATTTTTGCACGTCGTTAGTCGAGAGCTCTGTATGTATTTTTATTCTATATGCTTTTGTTTCATATACATGTGATTAATAATATTAATTACCTTAATTTCAGTCGCCTTCAGTTCCAATTTTGAAGGGGCGTATGGCATTCGAAGTGTACCAACACACACAGAGGATGGCATACCTATCAGAAAAATTTATGTCACCAACCTACCACCAGAAGTACATATTCAACATCATTTTTAGATACAAAGAATTTACATTTTATTGATTTTGTTAATGTTTTGCAGACTACTAGAACTGAACTTTTTGGTGTGTTTGCACAATATGGTTTCATAAAGAGCTGTTGGCTAAGAATGGGTGACAAAGGACCAAATAGGACGCCGACTCCAACATACGCGTTCGTCACATTTAGCAACCCAGCAGATGCACATAAGTAAGTTAACTTTTGCCTTTACCTAACATTCCTTTGTGTTAAAAAAACACATGGCAAAACACTTTTAAATGAAATGCAAAAAATTAAGTATTTGCAGTCCAGTTTTAAATAAAGTATAAATAATTCACTGTACAATCTAATATAAATATTTTTTATTCTATTGTCCTATCAAGTCTTTGTTAGTTGACAATGAAAATTGTTACATGTGTTAAGTTTTTCTTTTATAATTTTTTTAAACATGTACAATAAACCAGTTTTATTATAAAATACCAGAGATCATGATTGTTTAAATCATTATGATTATAAATATTTCTAAATGCAATGAAATATGGAAAAATCGTGTAATCTCAATAAAATGATATTTAAGAAATTGAAAACAGAACAGTTTTTAAATAAATTAAAATAGGTACTTTCGGGGTAGTTTACAAAAACTATATATTTCCTACCTGCTTTTTTTATTTCCATATATTTTAAATAAATTCATTGATAAAAGAAGAATTTATACTCTCATTCTAACTGCATACTTTCTGCATTAATTGGATTCAACATCTCTCCTTGATCAACTCACATTATACATTTATATGTAACTCAATTTCAGAGCTCTACAAGCACCATATCATGAAAAGACTCTCCGAGGTCGTAGTTTGAGGATTTCGCCAGCTGACAGTTGGCACCAACCTGCAGAAGATGCTGATGGTAGGGTGCAATGGCGGCCAAGCGGCCAGAGAGGTGAAGAACCACCCCCATCAGTGCCAACAGAGGAAGTGGAACAAGACAAAGGTTGATATAGCTCAATTATTCATTGTGAGACAGTTTAAGGACTGAATTTTAGTATATCATATGGTACTCTTAAGAAGGGTCTTAATGGTATAGCCTAGAAAGAAATGGATGTATTGCATGAAAGGTGACATGATCAAAAAGAGAGTGATGACTGAGATGATGTATGATAGAGTTATGTGTAGGATAAAAATCTATTGCGCCGACACTATGAGGGTAGGATAAGAAGGAAGATGATGAAGAAGGGTCTTAATGGAAGTTCATATTGCTAGGAATTTGTTGAAGAGTATAAATAAAAACAATTTTTATCTTAAAATATTATGACAGTTTGTTATTTATATTTCAACTCCTATTGATGAAGTATGCAGTTTAGAAAGGTTTTTAAAGTGTTTTTCTTGTTTATGTGTAATTCCATAATTATATTGCTATTTATTTCTAGAAAACCCTCAACAAGATGTTAATGCAAATGCAGAAGGGAACAATGATGATATCAATGTATCAATTGTAAGTGTTATATAGTTAATAAGTGTTAATTATAAGTTAATACAGTTAATATTATGTGTAAAATTTAATGAAAATGAGAAATTATATACACATTTCATTGTTTATGGATATTTGAAAAGTTTTAATGTTTAAATTTATGATACAAACATGTCTGTTTCTAAAGACTGTTAAACCTTATAAAGATAAAATTGATTAGATGTCTTACTAATATTATAAATGCGAAAATTCGATGGATGGATATTTGTTAGAGTTTGAACCCAAAACTGCTGGATTTCGATGAAATTTAGCATGGATGTAGAGGATAATCTGGAAGTACACATAGGCTACTTACTTTTGTTCTTTTTTAATACCACGCGGTCGGAGTCACGAGCGAAAGCAAGTGTTTTTATAATTACTCATTTCTATTTTAATGGATATACATTAAAATATCTCTTATTATATGCTTCATTATGATGGTTAATTATGATGTTATCTTTAAAAAGGTAAATGAAGTTGAAGAGGTTGAAAACGACAGCAATGATATGGAAGGTTATGGAATACTGGATGTTCTCAATCCCGATTGTTTGTCGCACATTATGAGTTATGTACCATTAAGAGATCTCATTCGCTCCGAGAGAGTCAGCAAGAGATGGCAAATGATGGTCCAGGAATTCATTGTTGGTGAGTCTTTTTTTATATCTTCTTTTTAACCAACTAACAAGATCTACAGATGTGAGTATTTGAATCATTGAATAGATTTTGATGAGTGAGATGGAACTGGATTCAGTTTTCCATAGAGCAGGGGTTGTAAACTTTTGAGTATTGATATGCTATTTAAAAAAAAAATTATTGTTGTCATAGATGAGCCATCAAATAATTTTGATTTTAAGATTATTGGGTACATCTAAACTTATATAATAAAGTGTATATGCACACTACTTAGGTTAAGGGCTTAGTTTAGTTTTTAGGCTTTAGTAGGTTTTTTTCGATATAACTTTTATGTCATCAAAAGTAGAGATTAAATAAATTTCAAACTATATTCTAGGCATTCGCATATATAAGACCTCATGGTGGCAACATATACCGGTTACCTTAACCACAGCAGTGTTGAGACGGGTGCTGCAGAGAGTAGGCAGTTCTCTAGTGCGGTTGCATATTGACCACAACTGGTCCGCACTAAATGACCGTACTGCACACACTGTTGGCAAATTCTGTCCCAACCTCGAAGAACTAAAGGTAACAAAGCATGTCTGATAGATTATGAACTTCCTCAATTCGTTATTGAACTAGATCTAATCCTAACCAATGTCTTTTACAGATTGTTGGTATGCATACGAAAAATTGGAACCCACTGGTTTATGGGTGTAAAAATTTGAAAAAGCTTATTTTTGTCTCATGCAATAAGGTAATAAGTTTTTCATTGTTTTATTCAACTTAATGTAAATTTACATAAGAGAAGAATGTCGCGATTATTGTTTGCCAATAACTTATCCTACTGGACCAGTTACAAATATTATTATACAATTTCAAAGCTAAATTATCCCTAAGTAAAAGGCAACATTTTTAATTTCAATTTTTTGTGAACATCGCAAGAAAATGCTAGTTTTGTAAAATAACAAATGTCAAAGAACTTATAAGGAATTATCAAAAATGTAACATTTCAATAAATGTGTTTGCAGCTTACAGATTCAAGTCTAGTACATATAGTCAAGAGTGACTCCCCAATAGAGTATTTGACCATTGCCAACAACACACATGTGACTGGACTATTCCTTAATGGGTCTAACATTCGTAAACTGAATGCTCTATCGTTTTACAACTGCTGTAGTCTCCAAGGTGCGGTGCTTACTGCAGCTATCGATGCAATGCCAAACTTAACTACACTGAAATTAGATGTTTGTCCCGTCACTATGTGGAAGATTGTACCACTAATATTGAAGAAATTAACAAAGTTGGAAGAGTTATCACTAAGTGAATATACTTCAGGGGATGCTTACTTCAAACCTTATGATAACGAATCCTTCTGTGAAGCTCTTGATAATTTAAAGGAGTTGAAAATTTTGAATTTGAGCAAAAACATCTATATAACGAATGCTGTGCTCAAACAAGTTGCTCGCTCCTGTCCTAAGCTGACTTCACTCAATGTATCAAGCTGTAACTCTCAGAAAAATTTGCAAAATCTTGGTATGTACTTCTTTTCTTAGTATAAGGTTGTAATAGTGTTTCGTAAAAATTAAGTTTACATATGACTTAAAATGTATGATATTGTTATGCTTAGAGTGTGTTCACTAAAGACATTCCTTGTTCTCAAAAAAAATCCCTAAAGAAGATTAACTTCCGCACTAGATTGGTCACTAAGGGATTGTAGAGGTCATGTCCATTCATCATCTATCAAGTGATGTTTAGTAGCCACTCTTTCACTCCCCACAGGTGATCTGTGGTGCAGTTTAAGGATAAACATCCCCTTTACCTAGTATTATATGTATTTTTATTATCACACTAGAATTTTTAAAATATAATTCAAATTATCCATCATTGATGAAATTATAAAAACCTTGTTGTATTGTCTACATTTTTAAAACTTACAATTGAAAATGTCAACATTCAAATGTACATATAACAAAGAAGGCCCCTGCCTTTGGTTTGTTTTTGTTCCATTCATACATATTTTTTTCCAATATATCCTATATTTAATAGCATGAAATAAATAGACTATAGCCAGTCGTCAGTGTAGTGTTTTTTATTAATTAGGGAATTATTAAAAAATATGTTGTGATTACTGGCATTTTACATAACAAAGAAGTGTTTATTTACACTTCAACCTATGCTAAGACACTATTTAAAGAAGAAAAACAATGTTTTACAAAACTATTAAGACAAATCTACTTCAATTACAATATAAAAAAAAGTGAGTAGCCTATGTGTTCTTCCAGACTATCCTCCACATCAACACAAAATTTCATTGAAATCCATCAAAACTTTCACATTTATAATATTAGTTAATTATATCTGTAATAATCAGTACCCCCACACTAGGAGCA